TTGTACAGTCCCTTCTGTCCTTGTTGCTCACAAAGATTGTATGCACTGTTTATCTCCACTGCCCCCACAGTGGTATTCTTCAGGCAGTTGTACAAGCGCAGAATCTCCCGAATGAGAGTCACCACTGCTTCAAGCTGTGCGGCAAACGACATTTTTCGACGGCATGTGTTCTAATTTGCCCTGCGTTTCTCCGACATTGCCTGTTTCCATATATGGAAAATGCGAATTCTGGATCCAGGTGCAAGGACAGATCTGGCTTGGGCCTAGATGCTTTCACCCAAATTGGTTGACCGAAGGTAGATTACTCGCCGTCAGATTGAGGACGCCGACTTTCTTTAGAATTTTGGATCCATATTACATTCTGTTCCCGGGTTCTCTCTGGCCTTAGGCTTGGCAAATAGCAGATCACGACGCATAACGCATCGAACCTGGGGTGCAATGCTTACCCAGACTGTACGCGTAATATTTAAGCCAAAGCCCTAACTACGGTATGGAGGGACTGCTTATATTATTTCCTTAATGTTTTCTCTCCTCAACAGGCTTATGCAGGGCAGTCGTGTTTCAATTTGCATATTGCTGGGCTGCATGGACACAGGGATCTGAATGGTATTGAATCGTGCGTATGGGTCCTTACGGGGTCCGTGGCGAAATATTATTTTCACTTGCCTAATTCAGATTTCATTTCCTCGCCTTGACGGAATCGGGGTTTCTCATTGCTACTGCAGCCCATGGGTTGCTCGGGGCCTTGAGGTGTGGCAGCTCGAGGCTTGCAAACAGTACTTTCGGAAGGTACCCTCACATAATTCTGGGCAAAACATTCTTCAGTCCATCGATTTTCTATTCAATGCCGAGTTGTTAAAGCCATAAACTGACGAGTAATGCGGTCTGGGTGGCATACAAATCCACGCCCCCAATAGGGTCACCTAAGCAAAGGAATCTACGGCGGAGCGCGCCAAGATACGCGGAGCCCAAGCGCCGCCTTTCCCTTTCTAAAGCCTCAGAACCATTAAAATGACACATATTTTGTGGTAGACTGCCCCACCTGGATGGCTTTGAGGAATGGGAATCCCGTCCGTTTCCCACTACTCTAGCCCGCAGCTGGGCTGCCACTGGCGTGCTCCACCAATCCCCGCCCTTATTTTGATTGTGTAGGCGCATAATACCTTCTCGACACAATTTATAGATTTTGTCGTGTCAAAAGAGGTCACTGTTCACGTTTTTACGATACATTGGGGAACATTCCCGCCGCTGCTCCTCCTATACAGGCATCGCCCAGCTCCTGCCCGCCTCCGCAGTATCTTCCACAACAAGCATGACAGAATGGACGGACTGCAGCGGCGGTTAAAGTACGCACAATGGACTGCAGAGCCTCCCCACCTGCGACCTCCTCACAACGCCAACAATTCCCGAGCTGCCGTCCCCCGGTTCCCTACAACTGTGGCAACCCCAGGCGCATTCGTTGCTGAGGACTATGGAAGGGCTCTCCCTTCACGGAGCAAGCTCTTCCCTGCCAGCTCTCAGGAACTTTCCAGGCTGGAGCATTCGGACTACTGCGACCGTGTCCATCCCACACAAAACTTATCACGGAAACAGAAACTGCAGCGCGGCGTGTTGGAGCCAACCATCGGCTGCCATAGCCATGGATCCCAGCTGTTTCCTTTCCTCACCAGGTACTTCCCCAACCGCGTCTAATTTGAGAGCCATACTTGCTCATATGCTGCTCTCTATGCCTATTGGCAATCGAAGTGCGCAATGCCTTAGCAGCNGAGAGCCATACTTGCTCATATGCTGCTCTCTATGCCTATTGGCAATCGAAGTGCGCAATGCCTTAGCAGCACTCCTGCACTCCACCTGGACAGGATTTACGTATCTCCAGCTTCGCTACCTTTTCCTTCAACAACTTCACCCCGTGATATGTGCGTCGTTCTTTTTGCGCTTCGAAGGTCGTGCTCGTCGCCAGCGGTTAATGGGAAGGGCCACTCAGGCGCACTCTGTCCTGATGTGGAACAGGGCTCTCTGCCACCTGTCACGCAGTCAAAAGTAAATATCCTTTCAGGAAATATGACTTCTTCGCTCTTCGGAGGCCACGCCGCTCCACTGCCTCTTTTCGACTCCCGGGCTGCAGCAGCAACTGCTGCCTCTTGCTGTACGCATGCGGCAACAGCAGACGCTGCCAGCCCGAGGCGGTGGGCAGGCAAGGCCCTTGTTGGCAGCAGCAGCTGCAGGGAAAGTGTAAGGGCTGAAAATACCCATTCGATCAATGGACCGTTCTTTCAGAGACCAAAAGGAAAGCCACAGAAAAACGGCAAGCAAGCGTCCCTTGACTCGCGACAGACCTATGAGAACTCAACAGGAGAATACGAAAGCGCAGCCGAAGCAGCACAGGAGAACGAAAAGCTCGGGCAAACCAAAGCTGTGGGCTGCACAGCCTCTCCAAGAACTATTGAAGCGTACGCAAAGTCCCCTCGTCTCTGCCACCCCTCAGGCAACCCGAAGAGTTTATCGGGGTATACGGATGCGCGTAGCGCAGCCACAATACGCGAGTCGTCCGCTAACTCGAGCAGCTCTTCCTGCAGCGCTCCAGACATGAAAATGGAGAAGCAACATCTGATACTTGCGAAGCCCCCTGCAAAAGTGCCAGATACAACTGAAAAGCCTGTACGGACAAACAACGCACACTTGGCCAGTGCCCACTGTGACGCACCCCAGCGCATCTNACTGAAAAGCCTGTACGGACAAACAACGCACACTTGGCCAGTGCCCACTGTGACGCACCCCAGCGCATCTTCTCAGCTCTGTGCTGGAACAGCCGGCATATTCTGCAAGATGAGCGTGCGTCGTGTATTTTGCACGGGGCGGAAACAGAAAGTTTGCGTTCCTTCAGGACAAACAAGACACGCCACAAGTAACTAGCAAGACTACTGTGGATCTAAGGCAGCTACGGGAAGAATGCTCACTGCCATTTACTCCCTTACCAGGGGGCCTTCATGCCTCTACGCAACGTCAGCAGGCACGGCTAGCCCCCACACAGCACGGTGTTCTTGCTTATGAAGCACCTGCGGCACTAGCAGCGCACCCAAGAGCTGTCGCTGAACTCAAGCGATGGACGACCGAATGTTGCAACTCTGCTACGCCTACACTACGATATGGTAATTCGTGTTGGACGCCCCAGGATTCACCTGCGTGCATCTGTGATTGTAGCTGTTGACGACAACCTGGAGAGATTTGAAGGAATGCTCGAGCCGATTGTAAAGCTTCTGGTTGATAAGACTGTTGAGCAGGCGATCGAGGAAGCGAAGCAGGAACAGCAACTGCTTACGCTGCACAAGCGAAGGCAAGAGCTGCTGAAAAATCAGCAGCAGCAGCTGCTTGAGTTGGAACAGCGCGAAGCACGCAGGCACTTTCAGGCGCAGCAGGCAATACAAAACCAACTCGCTGCGTGAGCGAAATCAAATCGCAGCTCAAAAAGTGTCTGCTTCGCACAACCACGTGCAACTTACGCAGCAAACGGCAGATTACCCTGGCTTGTGATACCTACGGTGAACGTGAGCCCGTATGCTTACAGGAGGGAGCACGAAACTCAGCTGTGGCGTCATTTGTGGGTAGCGCACATCGGAACGACTTTGCTAGATGAAGACTCTCTTGAAAAGATCGTGGAACAGTTGGATGAGGTAATGCTGAGAACTATAATTTAGCTTCGCATACATTGCGCGTTATCAGCTCTCTTTTCCCCCGTGGGGGTGCACAGCAGTTCGCCGATTATATAGTACTGTCTTGTCGTGGTTACAGGAGAGTTCATTCTTATCTTCGGTTGACACTCTTTCGGGCGAGTTCCTTGCTGAAGTTGCCAAGGCGGCTACTGGGGAGCTCAAGAAACGGAAGGTGAGGGAAGATACAGACGCGAAACTATTGCTAATATTCAAAGGGATGCCACCTCATGCCAATAAGGGTCTCGTGGAAATTCTGCTGACTTGCGGTTGTGCGACCATCACCTAGGATCCACTTGCACAGAGTTTGGACAACTAAATGTGTCGCTACTGATGATTGGTTAGCCTTGAGTCAGATGAGGGATTGTGGCTGTGCACTCCACTGAATCATACAGCGGCGCAACTCAGCTGAGCGAAGGCGTCGTCCCTTATGCTGAAGCGTCAGGGTTCTCTTTTCAGGGGGCAGGCACTGCGACCCGTCTGTTGCTACCTTTCCAATAGCTATATGGCCCATTGAATTGCGTGAAAATTCAGGATATAGGAGAGGAGCTGGCGAAATTGTGGTTCAATGCAGAGAAGGTGCAGACAGCCAGTCGCCGACAGCAAGAGTTGCTCATCTGGGGACAGCACTTGAGAATGAGAGAAAAGATCAAACGACGAAGAGAGCTACGTCGAGGAGTTGTCCATATTTTTGTCACACCCGCAGGTGAACACCTTCGTCGGTTCAGAGCCTGTAAAATGCGTTCTAGCCCTGTAGCTTTTAAGGAGTATTTGATGCCTTTCATCCGTGTCCATCAACACGTTCTTGGAGGGCCAGTATCTCTTCCGTTGTAAGCAGCCCGTTTGAGTATTTGTAGCTCCCGAGCATAAAGTGTGTGCACCAT